GTGGCGCGACGCTACCGCCCTAAAAAAATACTTTAAAATTTAAGACATAGCGACAGCAGTAGTTTCACGCAGCTACTTCACCTTCTTCAACGTGTTGTTAAACAAAGTATAAATTATAACGTTGGTGGCGCTATTCCAAGGTCTCCGAGAGTGTATTCAGAGGGGATATCACGATCGCAAGCCTCCTGTAACTCACTGACAAACTTTCTTAAATTGTACTTTGGTCATAGTGTGCATGCATTGGTATGCACTTTCCGATTTCTAGAGATAATGGAGACCTGAATTCAGAGAGCATGGGAAAAGATAAGCAAAGCTTCAAGCCTAGTTTCAAGGCAACTTCTCTCCGTTTTACTGACACACTCAAAATCTGGCCTACTGGATGTAGTCATGCATCTTTGAATTGAATTGCAGAAGAAAAATAAAAAAATCATATTTGGGGAAAAGGATTACCAGAAAATAAAAGTTATAGGAGGCACTCTACCTATTAAAATATACTGAGAATATCCAAATCTTTGTAGATCTTGGTTAGAGTGAACTATGGAATTAAAGTGAGCGTTACAAATTAGATTAACCTTTTCGCCACCAGACTTTCTCGCCCAAATTTGTCTGTACTTTTTTCTTATATTCTTCAATATTTCTGAAAATGAACACTACTTTTGGAGCCAACAGACAAAATTTGAATGAATTTTCAGTTTGTACTCAAAAAATTTGGCTATTTTTGTCCCAATTTTCTGAAGGAAAGTGCAGACTACAAACTGGACTATTTTGTAAATTTATGATCAAAAGAGAGAACTGGTGGTGTAAAGGTGAATCATAGTCACATGATAGTTCTTGGCCAATCAATGTACTTGTACAATGTACTGATCTTGTAGCTCATTGGCTAATTTAAAGCCATGGCACAAATCTGTGTACCAAATTAAACAAAATTTGTTTTTGATGGGGGGGAGGGTGTCAAAACCAGTTCAAGGTCAGAGGTCACAACCAATAGAGCACACACAACAACTCGAGTAGGTAAAAGTCATTTATTTACTATGCATTTAAAAACTTCACTAAAGTACCAGGTTTGAAAATAGTAACATTTTATAAACTGTCCAAATGATTGCAAAAGTCATCCTTACATCAGTTATCAAATCATTGAGTGACAATTTTTAAAATACTCAATCTCATCTCAAGTATGGTGGAATCATATCTTAAAGGCGTGCTGTCACAAGTTATTGGAAGTTGTAAACACGAGTATTTTAGAAATCTGATCAAACTGCTGTAGATTATTCGACTATGATCCTATGCTAGGTTCTAGCACATATCTATAACTTTTGTACAATTTAGTTTGTACCACTGACTCAATGTAAGTTGTGACAGCACAACCTTTAACAGCACTCACTGGGCAGTGCTTTACCACATGTTAATTGATCAGATGGAGACCTGGACATGAGATTAATACTACATATTATTACAAGTTGCAATTTGAGCAGGTCTGTTTTGCTGCACTTTATGTGAACTGTGTATATTGGGTCAAGTCATTTTGATTAGGAGGGGTGCAGTTTACATTTCTGTCTGAGGGGGTCCATACATTTTGCGATGAAAACCAACTGAGAATTGTCACTAGAGTCTTCCAGATGCATTATCTGGTCTTCCCCATATGATATTCGGAAAAACATCTCCAGATAATGGTATATACTTATCCAAATATCATTGTGCACCACCCTTTTCAAATTAGTCTGTCCCATATCCCACAATTCCTTGCAAGACATTAAGTAATTATTATTAACTGGGCCAATTCACACTCCCATGCATTCCAGCAGCTCAAAAAAATCAATTATATTTTAAAACTTGATTTTCATGATTGTGAAAACTTAATATATGTATGCACGCTCATTTCAAATGTGTGAGTATTCAAAATAAAATACTAATAGAAAACAATCCATAATTCAGTTCATTTCTAAAACAGAACACAGCCCTTCTAAACTACGTTTACACCCAGACATAAGATTGCTTCATTACAGGTAGAATTAAACTGAAAAAAAAGCAAAAATGTCTACTACAATAACTGCAATGGTGGCTTAACCCTAGAATATACACCAGCCAACCGTACACACGAACGCTGCTTCAACAAAGCTGTCACCTTGCCAACACAGGGGAGTCAAAATAATTTTTTTAATATTTTTTTTGTCCTTTTTTTGACACAACTTTCTAATTTGTAGCCATTAGTCAGCATGAAATACAAAGACAACTACAATCTACGATAAATTAAATACAAAATATAAATACGAATAGAACAGCACATTATAAAACAGAGTAAAATACTATTGCACCAGTGAATATACACTACATTATCAACGACAAAACGTTCTGAAGATTTTTCATGTCAGTATCAACAAAAACTGAAACATTCATATTTACTAAAATAAATGAATGAAACATGGTTGCAAAATTCAGTGTAATGAAAATGATGGTGGAATTGTTATCAGCACGGTATCCGATTGTTTGTTACTTTGGTATAAAAATGAGGAGAAATACATTTAAAATAAATTCAAAGGAAATAAAACTTGAAATAATCATTGAGACTAAAACATAAGCAATTTGTTAAGAAATTTGCTTATTTTAACCCCAATTGAGTTATCGTAATGATGCATCTTTAAATACATACAGATTTACAAGAAATGTCTACTTGGCAGTATCAACCAGGTTTTTAGAATCATTTCTAAAACCTATTTAAGTTTCAATCTACGCACATACTATATACATTTTGTACATATAGTTATAAAACATACTTTTATTTCAAATCGGTTTTAGTGCATGTTTCCATAAAACACAATCATTTGAGTTGCTGCAAAAAAAATCTAGATGTCGGACAACAATTTTGCCGTCTTTGACTTCTAGAGGGTTATTTAACCAGCGCTGGTTTGTAAGGCTCACCCTCATTGGGTTAAAATCCACACAATCTGTATTGTGTCTGAATTTGAACCAATAGGAGTTCAGAAATTCATCGGGTTAAACTCGAGACCATATTTTTCAGTATTAACTGAAAGCAATTTTACACAGTGCACATAACGTGCAGATCTTCATGTCAACATTATTGATTTTTATTTATTTATCTTTTTTTTCTGGCTTATCACAATAATTGCTATTTCTGCAACATTTGGATATTCAGTCTACTACTTCAAAATGCATGAATTTCAAAAACACGAAATCTTCAATAGTAGAAAATCCATCCATTATCTAATCGTTACCATACCAACTACACTCAGCAATACATCCTCCATTTTACAAGTCTTCGCTTTCCATCATAGAGGAACTAACGGGCTGAAAACCGTAAGATGCTGCTGATTCGTTGCTTGGTGACGCCCAGGCTCTAGGTTTAGGATTGAAGTCAGTAAATGAAGATGGCAAGGATCGCGTATCTGATGTAGCCGACACATCAGATGTTGCGGGAGAAGCTGATCGGTTTGTGCCGCCGACCGGTGACCAACCTCGAGGCTTTCGGTTATAATTTGCTTCAAACGGTTTGAAAGTATTGCCTTGCTCACTCTCAGACACTGGTGTGGAAGCTTTAAATTTGGGGCGTATTTGGGGCACAGGCGATATTTTGACGTTCTCTTTCATTGGTGAAACCGAGGATGCTGTCCATGACACTGGTGGTTGAGCCATTCCCGTTGCCATGGTAGTTGATGCTGGTGCATTCTTTTTTACCATATTCTTTGGTATGTTTACCTGCACTTTCATTGGTCCAGTGTCAATATGGTCAAAGGCACCATCCACTGCTCCGTACGGTGATTCCATCGCAGCTTCCCAGGGCGTTTTATGTTTCGCTACTACTGGTCTTTTTTCAGATGGCATTTCACTCGATATTCCTTTAAGTGTTACTTTAATAGCACCACCTGGGGCATTATCAACTTCTGTCGCGATTACTTGAGGAACTTTCACATTTGACTCATCCGTTACAAATTTTTCAACTCGTTTTTGTCTCTTCGCAAACATCTGAGAAGCTCGCCCACCAGCTGATTTCAAGTCTTGTGCCAACATGCTGCACAAATTAGGACTAACGGCAGTATGCGCACACTTTTGCGGGTCTCGCAGGTTAATATTAAAGTTTGTTGGTTCTATTGTAATTGTACGGGGTGCTTTAGGAGTGACTGGTGTCGTTTTGCGCGTATTTATGTTAGGAATATGAAATTGAAATAGAAGCCGCGACGGATCATCTTCATCAATATTGTTAGGCATAGGAGGCATCGGTGGCGGTGGTGGAGGTGGCTGCGGGGTCAGTGGATTGAACGGAGTAACGGGCGTTGTAGGTTGATATAACTCTGGCATAGACTCGTATTCATCAACATGTCTTGTACCCATGCCCTCTTTAGTCCACTTGGCTGATTTCTTTCTTCTTTTCATGAACATTTTGGCACCTTTGGCTTGTTTGTTGGTTGGGAACATCAACAAGTCAGAAATCTTTTTACATATTCGTTTCTGGTCATCAACACTGGCAAACACATCATCCTCATCCTCCACATTGCTGTAACCAGCATAGGAAAATGGTCGCTGCCCATGAACTGTAAGAAAAAAAAATAGTTATAGGAGGAATTGTTCTAAAATCAATTCATTGGGAATATTTTTCACTCAATAGAATACAAAATAGTAATAATTATGAAGTGACAGCTCAAGAATTCACCCTTATTGCCAGCTATGTCAGTTGTGGCCACCCTTAAACTTATTGTCTGCCAGTTTGGTGATGGCCAC